GTAGAAGACGTAATATTGGACGTGTACGAGACTCCGCGTAATGCCTGTCCAGGAGTTACTGACCTAGCAATCCCAGTAGCTACAAACAAATTATTATAAATATTATCTCACTGTTACTTTAGAATACTTATACTTAAAATACACGAACAATATATTTCATATGAAATATGAATTACACAATACACATATATGTACTGCATAAATATATGTGTAAACAATTAAAAAAACGGTATATAATATTACTTGCAAAGAATTACTATAAAATTCCTAGTTTTATGCAATCTTTAGAATAACTTAAATATAAATTATCTTTTGTATTAATTCTATTTCAGTAGGAACTAGAATTACTTTATAAATCAACATGAACAAATACATAAAAATAACAAATTCATATCAATATCAAACACATTATAATACAATTACCATTTCTTTTTTCAATTAATTCTCAAAATCTAATTTGTTAATTCATTCATTTTCATAAATATTCTCTTAGGATACAACATAAATATTCTCTTAGGAAAGACATATCCAAAATATTTTAATAATTTATATTCTATCTGAACTTTAGAGTAAGACATGCTGTTCTTACTTGGACCGCTGACAGGAACACTAGATACCGTGGCAGTGGGCTGAACAACTTTACTACTAACCATTGGTGTCCCAGTGCCGAGTACTGTACCTTTAACTGTACATAAAATATAATTATAAAAATATTTATTTTATTAAACATCTCAAATAAGCATACTCAGCATCATAACATATACTATGATTATTACTTGTTTGCTACTGGTGTTTAATAACTAAACTTAATAAATTATATTTATGTATGTAACTTTGTAATAATTATTAAATATAACATACTTGTCTGTGGTGCATTAGCAGGCTTAACTGTAGGCATAGCAACTAAATTAGCTGGTTTAGCTGGAGGAGGTGGTGGAGTTGTACCCACTCCTCTTGGAGAACCTCTTGCTTGAGTCTCCTTCCATACATCCATTTCACTTCTAAGTTTATCTAATTCTAATTCGAGATCTTTAGCCCTTTTCTCTTCCTTTGCCAAGGCTTGCTTATATTGCTGCCTTTCCATGTCAAATTGTGCAAGTTGTTTCTCTAATTCTGCTTCCATTTGCAATGATTTTTTGCTTTCTTCTTCAAGTCCTTCAGCCATAGAATCTATTCTGACTTTTTCTTCACTTAATATCTGTGCCAAATCATCTGACCTTTTCCTTTCCTCAATATACTTCATAATTATCTTTATACGTTCAGCAAGTAAAAGGAGAACTATTTGTTTCTTTCGAGTTTTTTCTTCCTCCAAAGTCTCATTTGCCTTTTTTAATTCTAGTTCCAGTCTTTTTTTTTCTTGTTTCTCTAATTCTAATTCTATTTTCAATCTTGTTCTTTCTTTTTCCAATTCATATGTAATATCATCACCCTGGGCAGTATCATGTTCATGTTTTCGTTTTTCTTCTTCTAATTCCTTAATAACCTACATTAATTAAAAAAAATTTATAATTATACAAAATTAGTTACTGTGTAGGTAACTAAATATAAAATACATACTCCTGTGTGCCTAAGTTCTGCTTCTTTAAGAACTTTAGCCATTTTAAGCTGCATACATCTTTGTTGTGTTACAAGTGCTTCTAAAGTAGCAACTTGTTTATTTATTTGATTTGGTTCATATTTACTTACACCACCTACTAATACAACATCACGAGCAAGTGCAGCATGTGGATCTGATGTTCCACTCAGATATCGGGTATTTAATAAATGTTTCAATTTTTCCGACTGCAAAATATACAAAAAGTCTAGCTTAATCCATTTTATATTTCAGGGATGTAATATTATGCTCTTATATTAGTTTTAAATTTAATTATAAAAACTTCTCTGTTAATTAACAAGGAATAAATTACCTTCAATACTGCTATTACAATATCTCGTGCCTGTAATTCTCCTTCTAAGTGTCCTAATAGTTTTAATAAATCAGTTTTGCTTAATTCCATTTTTGGATTACGCTGTAAAAGAAATATAGAAAATTATTGCCCAATATACATTTAATTTAAGATATACCGATATTAATAAACAAAATTATAGATCAACAAATTTTTAAGTAATAAATAATTATTTTTAAAATGAAAGTTTTCACCTGATGGAAATAATAAACATACTTTTAGTGTATTGGAGGAATTCTTATCAATTGCCTCTATATTGTTAGGTTGTTGTAAAGTTTGTTGATGCTGTTGTTGCATCGGTGACGGCGATGGTGATGGTGACGACGATGGTGATGAATGTTGTTGATAGGATTGTGAGGATGGTGTAGTGGTAAGAGACTGCATCTTCGTAGTACAGACCGAGATGGTTGTCGACGATCCGGATGATCCATTCGCCGGTGAAACGGTTGAACTTACATTCATAGCATTTTGACTCTGCGATGCCATTTTTAGAAAAAACGAATTATCGGGGAAAATTCACCCCTGCAGAAGACGTACAATTTCAAAGAAAGTACTAAAAAGTACTCGAGGAAAGTATTCCGCGGTTAAACCGTTTCAACCTTCGGTATTAATACTTTCATTTGGACAAAGAAAGCTTCGGCCCAGAGAGCCAACTTCGGCACACGCCACATCGCTTCAGGATTTCTCTTTTTCTTTTCGAACTTACTTAAATTATGCCGAACGAATTAATCCGGCATTTAACTTTATCCTCGATGTATTGACAAATCAAGCACAAAGCGTAGTTCACAGATAGGAACCTAACTCGTGAAAAGTGCTACGAGATCATTCATTATCGATTATTTCTTATCGAATGTTACGACTTACAATTCGATTTAATTTCGACTTTACGTAGCGGTAAAATTAAAATTTTATGTGGACGTATTATTCTTATGTGGACGTTTATGTGACAAACAATTGTTTACCGATAGGTGTCCATAAACATACATCAACAATTTTCAGATAACGAAAAACAAAATACAAATTCAGAAATAATTTATAAGTAAGTCTTAGTCTGTATTTTGTTTTTCGTTGAAATGGAAACAAAAAGAAGTGTCTGATTACAAAGATCGACAAATGAGTTCTGTAGAGCTATCTATTCAGTGTTACGACTAATCCTATAAAAGCACATATTGTTGTACAAAAGTTAGTACTGTACATTGTTGGTAAGTTGGCAGTCGGTAAAACACAGAGGGAAGAGGGTTACTTTATTCACTTCACTACTTCATTTTTAGCATTTTCGAAATCCCTACTATTAAATATCTGACGAATATGATTTAACATAATTGTAAAATGAATTACATCTCCACAACTTTTATTTCTTGGTTAACACTGATTCTATACTATATCAATTACTTATTATCGCTCTATTTTATTCGATCTCAATATATCCTATTAATTCTCTTTATCATACAACGCTATAGAATATGATATATAGATGCGACAGTTTTAACTAGTATGAAAATTCGTGTGTCTTATCTTTAGAATTGTTAGAGAAGGTGGATCTATGCAATATAACCAATCACAATATCTTTTCTTATGACTGCCAACTTATCAGGCAAGTACAGTACTATGCACTGTTCAGAAAATAATTTGTGAGATATTACAAGTAGAGAAGGAACGATTTGTTTGTACTATTTAATTCCGAATTCCTCTTGAAGCTTTTACAAACACGCTGACATTTCAGTGAATAAGGAAAATACTTAAAATCTATTTCTATGGTTACAATTACATGAAGAGCGAATTTGGATCTACGAAATACAACCAATAAGATCCATGTTTCCTTCGCGGTTCATCTTTTAAATAATGCATAATATTGTCCCTTTCTATTTTAGATTAACCTTTTATAATAATATTATAAAATCAGTTTTAAAGACTTTTACAAAATTACTACACCTAAAACCATCTTTTAGACTTATTTTCTCAAGAATATTATTTCCATACTAATAACATTTGATTAAAAACGTGCATATGTATCCATAATTGTTTAATATTTTCCTTTTTTCTTTTACCGTAAATTAAGCATATACTACATATATATGTCCTGCAACGATGGCATTAACATCACTCACCAATATGACTGGAGACAGTGAAAATATTTTTTAATAAACTACATAATTAAAAATTTGTTTTGTTCTAATAATTATTAAACTATTTTATAGTTCCTAATTATTTATTTTCTTTTTTTACTCTACATTTAATTTTAACTCAATTTTAGGTTTCCAGGCCCTAAAGAATCCCTATCTTGGGATGCATTTAAATATTTTCCTTCAAAAAAAGAAAGTGCATCTATGCAAAATAAAAAATGGCTGGATGTTTCTATACGAATTATTAAAATATTTGTATATGTTATTCTTTTCTGCACCGTCTTTTGCAGTGCTTTGATTACTAAATTTGTAATTATGTTTGCTATATCACAATTTACGGATGAAAGGAGTGTACAGTTTTGTGATTATTATTCAGGTAATTTATAAATATTATTTATTTTCACTGACTTAAAGTATCATTAAAAATATATAATTGTACTTTAGTAATAATTCTAATTATTTAAAAATAATTATATAAGTGTTATTAAGATGATTTTTCATGATATATCTACATGTAACTTTTATCTTAATACAAATATTAATATACGAATATAGATATATACTTCTATAATATTCAATGTTGTAGAGTATAATCAAGAACTAGAAGTAAGAAATTTTAAAAAAGGCAAAGTAATTTGAACATGGTATATTATCTTTATGTTTATTATACCAGAATTTTTAACTATTTTTTACGCAATATGGGATTTTCTTTTCACAAAGAAAACAAAATTACCTACAAAACAAAGCATTGTAATTATTTTCTTTTTGGAAACACTTCATCCAATTGGCATAGCATTATTAATTTTGTATAGCCTGCCAAAATTTAGTTCTGTGGATGCTGCTGCAGTTTCTTGTTGTATTTATTTTATTCCTGCTCTTTTAAGTAAGTACAAGCGTTTAAAATTATTTTTGTTAAAAAATACCTAATGCATTTATGCTATTATTACAGATTTATTTACTCAAAAATACAGAAGTGCAACTAATATATCTGTACTAGTTATAGTATGCAATGGTTTGCTCTAATTGCCCAAGGGTCAGGATTGATCTTATATTCTCTTTTAAATAATCTACAATATTCTCTAATTCTAATTCTATTTTCAATCTTGTTCTTTCTTTTTCCAATTCATATGTAATATCATCACCCTGGGCAGTATCATACTCATGTTTTTGTTTTTCTTCTTCTAATTTCTTAATAACCTACATTAATTAAAATAAATTTATAAGTATACAAAATTAGTTACTATGTAGGTAATTAAATATAGAATACATACTCCTGTGTGCCTAAGTTCTGCTTCTTTAAGAACTTTGAACATTTTATGCTGCATACATCTTTGTTGTGTTATAAGTGCATCTAATGTAGGAACTTGTTTATTTATTTGATTTGGTTCATATTTACTTACACCACCTACTAATACAACATCACGAGCAAGTGCAGCATGTGGATCTGATGTTCCACTCAGATATGGGATATTTAATAAATGTTTCAATTTTTCCGACTACAAAATATACAAAAGTCTAGCTTCATTCATTTTATATCTCAGGTATGTAATATTATGCTCTTATATCAGTTTTAAATTTAATTATAAAAACTTCTCTGTTAATTAACAAAGAATAAATTACCTTCAATACTGCTATTACAATATCTCGTGCCTGTAATTCTCCTTCTAAGTGCCCTAATAGTTTTAATAAATCAGTTTTACTTAATTCCATTTTTGGATTACGCTGTAAAAGAAATATAGAAAATTATTGCCCAATATACATTTAATTTAAGATATACCGATATTAATAAACAAAATTATAGATCAACAAATTTTTAAGTAATAAATAATTATTTTTAAAATGAAAGTTTTCACCTGATGGAAATAATAAACATACTTTTAATGTATTGGAGGAATTCTTATCAATTGCCTCTATATTGTTAGGTTGTTGTAAAGTTTGTTGCATCGGTGGCGGCGATTGTGATGGTGATAATGATGGTGATGAATATTGTTGATAGGATTGTGAGGACGGGATAGTGGTAACAGACTGCATCTTCCTGATACAGACCGAGATAGTTGTCGTCGATCCGGATAATCCATTCGTCGGTGAAACGGTTGAACTTACATTCATAGCATTTTGACTCTGCGATGACATTTTTGGAAAAAACGAATTATCGGGGAGAATTCACTCCTACATAAGACGTACAATTTCAAGGAAAGTACTAAAAAATACTCGAGGAAAGTATTCCGCGGTTAAACCGTTTCAATCTTCGATATTAATACTTTCATTTGGACAAAGAAAGCTTCGGCCCAGAGAGCCAACTTCGGCACACGCCACATCGCTTCAGGATTTCTCTTTTTCTTTTCGAACTTACTTAAATTATGTCGAACGAATTAATCCGACATTTAACTTTAACCTCGATGTGTTGACAAGTCAAGCACAAAGCGTAGTTCACAGATAGGAACCTAACTCGTGAAGTGCTACGAGATCATTCATTATCGATTATTTCTTATCGAATGTAACGACTTACAATTCGATTTAATTTCGACTTTAGGTAGCGGTAAAATTAAAATTTTATGTGGACGTATTATTCTTAAGTCTCGTCCAAATTGACAAACAATTGTTTACCGATACGTGTCCACAAACATACATCAACAATTTTCAGATAACGAAAAACAAAATACTGATTCATTTATAAGTATAAGTATAAATTTAATTAATGACTGTAATTCTTTTTATATAGAAAACTAAACTAATAATAAAACAGAATTTATAGATTAAATCAAATTTTTTAATGAACCTACATATGTATTGTTTCTAGGAAAATAAAAGCATTATTGTAACTTTATACAATTATTCATTTCTTCACTCCCTTTACATTAGAGATAATGCTGCGTACTTTCGACAATTCGAAATCTTATCAATTTTATCAATGTACCTGATATGTCCATGAAAATTTCGGCGATTGGTAAGATATAAATGACTAAACTTACAAATCACGTATTCTTCTCCTAATATATCAATGTCAAACGTTAATAGTTTAAAATCTTCATACAATTTTCAAAATTATAATGATAATTCTTCTGAAATCGAAAATGTTAATGCATCGCAAAATTTGTAAGGAAATTCAACTATTTTATAGTTCCTAATTATTTATTTTCTTTTTTTACTCTACATTTAATTTTAACTCAATTTTAGGTTTCCAGGCCCTAAAGAATCCCTATCTTGGGATGCATTTAAATATTTTCCTTCAAAAAAAGAAAGTGCATCTATGCAAAATAAAAAATGGGTGGATGTTTCTATACGAATTATTAAAATATTTGTATATGTTATTCTTTTCTGCACTGTCTTTTGCAGTGCTTTGATTACTAAATTTGTAATTATGTTTGCTATATCACAACTTACGAATGAAAAGAGTGTACAGTTTTGTGATTATTATTCAGGTAATTTATAAATATTATTTATTTTCACTGACTTAAAGTATCATTAAAAATATATAATTGTACTTTAGTAATAATTCTAATTATTTAAAAATAATTATATAAGTGTTATTAAGATGATTTTTCATGATATATCTACATGTAACTTTTATCTTAATACAAATATTAATATACGAATATAGATATATACTTCTATAATATTCAATGTTGTAGAGTATAATCAAGAACTAGAAGTAAGAATTTCTAAAAAAGGCAAAGTAATTTGGACATGGTATATTATCTTTATGTTTATTATACCAGAATGTTTAACTATTTTTTATGCAATATGGGATTTTCTTTTCACAAAGAAAACAAAATTACCTACAAAACAAAGCATTGTAATTATTTTCTTTTTGGAAACACTTCATCCAATTGGCATAGCATTATTAATTTTGTATAGCCTGCCAAAATTTAGTTCTGTGGATGCTGCTGCAGTTTCTTGTTGTATTTATTTTATTCCTGCTCTTTTAAGTAAGTACAAGCGTTTAAAATTATTTTTGTTAAAAAATACCTAATGCATTTATGCTATTATTATAGATTTATTTACTCAAAAACACAGAAGTGCAACTAATATATCTGTACTAGTTATAGTATGCAATGGTTTGGCTCTAATTGCTCAAGGGTCAGGATTGATCTTATATTCTCTGTTAAATAATTTACAATCTTCTCTAACATGGATTTTTCCTATAGCACTTTTATTATCTTCTTGTCGTTGGTGGTATAATTATGTATCTCATAATAGCTACGGTGGTAATATTTTTACATACTTTCAGTTATACATTTTTTTATGGAATATGTGCTTTTTAATTTATAATATTTTTGAAAATAATTTGTAATTTTTTATACAGATTTTATAAGATTATTAGCAAGAAATAAATTGGATGTACTGAATAATTGTCGTGCATTACAAGGATATGTAGCATCTTGGAGATGTTTAATTTTTGTTTTAAGTGCTATAATAATTTTGGTTTTTGAAGAAATTCAGATACAAGAATTTTTTGGACTTCCATGGCAGAGTGGATATAACATAGAATTAATAGAAATGTTCAATCCTCCTCTTAAGAGTGGTATTGTAGATACTATTATAGATACTTCTGCACCTTTATATGCCTTTTTGATACAAATATTTTGTTCTTTCTTCACATATCAAGCAGGTGAGATATAAATCTTTATCATAAACACACATACGCACGCTCTCCATACACACACACACACACACATACAAGTATGAAGAATTGTATGTTTGTATTTTATTTTTTATAATTTTTAAAATTGTTTAATATCTTTTCAGCAAAATTTGCATATCAAACACAAATGCATAAATTTGGCTTTGCACTTCCAATAAGTTTAGTTACTCCAGCGACAATCTTATCAATAATTATGCTTGGCTTTTTAAGAAAAGAAGATTCGTGTGCTTTTTATGATTTAATACCAGATTATTTATTTTTAAATATACCTAAATACAACAATATAACAGAATATCTCTTAAGCTGGCGTATTTGGTGCTGGATAATATGGTGGTTGTCACAAATTTGGATTACAGTGCAACTTTGGTTAGATGAAAATGAAAGACTTGCTCCTGTAGAGAAAATCTTTTGTTATTCTAGTTATGATTCATTCTTAATTGATCAGTTCTTGGGATTAAATAAAAGAAAACATGAAACTTATGTTATCAAAGAAGAAGATCTCTCACATTCTAGTATAAAATTTGAGGTTTCATCTTATCTAGTATTTTGAAAAAGAATTTTACTTAACTATTTATTTTATACTAGTTTTTGTTTCAGATTGGTAGTTCAAAAAATATACAAATGACTAATTCTCAATCAACACTTTCTAAAAGTAATATAAGTAACAAAAGAAATACTTGTGTTACTCAAATTTATGCTTGTGCAACCATGTGGCATGAAAATAAAAAAGAAATGAATGCATTGATTGGAAGTATCTTAAGATTAGATAAAGATCAGTGCGCTATGAAAGTTACACAGAAATATTACAAAATTTTTATCAACGATTATTATAAACTCGAAAGTAATATATAAAATTGTTTAAATCAAATATCTAAAATATTTTAATTCAAATCTTTAAAAATATTAAATAAAGCATATGAACTATTTCAGCCCATGTCATGTTTGATGATGCATTTTGTTGTATGCATAACTGTATTGGATCTTGTGATCATAATGAAAATGAAACTCAAGTAAATGAATATGTAGCAACATTTATAGAAACAATGCAAGAAAATATAAAAAGTCTTGGCATACTTGATTTACCACCAATTAAATATCCAACACCTTATGGTGGTCAATTAGTTTGGAATTTACCTGGAAAGACACGTCTAACAGTACACCTTAAAGATAAAAATAAAATCAGATACAGAAAACGTTGGAGTCAGGTGAATTTAATATTACAATTAATAATCATTAAATTAACTTAAATACTAATAATAATTAACTAATTTGAATAAAATTCTTTTTTATATATAAATTATATTATTTTATTCTGCATTAATCACTAGCTTATTTTAGGTCATGTACATGTATTATCTTCTTGGTTACTGTTTTATGAGCTCATCAATAGATGTTGATACTAAAGAATTAATAGCAGAAAATACTTACATTCTAACATTAGATGGAGATGTTGATTTCCGTCCAACAGCTGTTAAAGCATTGATAGATTTAATGAAGAAAGATAAAGAATTAGGTGCCGCTTGTGGAAGAATACATCCCATAGGAAGAGGTACTTTCACAGATATCTAAGTACATATAAAAATCTAAGATGTGAAATATATTCCTATTTCATCAAAATTTATTTTAAAACTTATTAAATATTAATCAATTAAAATACTTTTTAATACAATATTACAAATATATTTTTTCATGTAGGTCCCATGATTTGGTTCCAGAAATTTGAATATGCTGTTGGACATTGGCTTCAAAAGTCAACAGAACATACAATTGGCTCTGTTCTTTGCAGCCCAGGTTGTTTTTCTCTTTTTAGAACAAAAGCTTTAATGCAACATAATGTCATAGCTAAGTATGCAACAAAGTCAACTGAACCCAGACATTATATTCAATATGATCAAGGTGAAGATCGTTGGCTTTGTACATTAATTTTACAAGCTGGTTGTAAGGTAAGAAAATTCATTTTTTTATTTTTATAAAAAATAAGAAATTTGATTAAAAAATTCCTTCTTTAAAATTTGTTTTCACTTGTTTCATTTAATTAGGTAGAATACTGTGCAGCTAGTGATGCTTATACACATGCTCCAGAATCATTTAATGAATTTTATATTCAACGTCGACGATGGATTCCATCAACCATAGCCAATATTTTTGATTTACTAGATAATTCAAAAGAGACTAGAAAAATAAATGATAATATTTCATGGCTTTATGTAACATACCAAGGAATTTTATTAGGTAGTTGATTTTAATATTAAATTGTCTATATAAACATATGCAGAGTATACTATTTGAAGTTTCGCACTCAATTATTTCGTAAACTATAGTTCATTTTTAAAATTATTTCCAATAAAACTTGTTTCAAGAGGGACATCTTATAGTGATAATAAATTTTTTCTAGGTGAATGTGCTTCAGAGATTTCAAGGTCCGAAGCACATCCATCTCGCACAAATTTATGACCATTATAAAATACTCTTGAAACAGAGTAAGTTTCATTTGAAACATTTTTTTTAAATGAACTACATGTTAGAAAATAATTGTGTCCGAAATTTCAGATGGAACACTCTGTATAATATATAAATATAAAAATAATTATTTATATATTTTGTACTCAAAAAACATATATTTTATTTATTTATTTATTACATTACTTTTTATAGGTAGCACAATTATAGGACCATCTTTTATCTACTTTATGATGGTTGGTGCCTTTGTAACTTCCTTTCAAATTGATAACTGGTTAAGTTTTGGGGCAAATTCGATTCCAATATGCATTTTTATTTTAATTTGCTTTTTTTGCAAAGAACGCATACAGGTAATTATATAAACTACTAATATCTAATATGAATAAGTAACTTAAAACTAATAACTTAAAAATAATAATTATACATTCTAATTAATGTTTTTATAGCTTATAGCAGCAGCAGTTATCACTGTCCTATATGGTATAGTAATGATCGTTGTATTAGTTGGAATAATAATACAAATAGCAGTAGATGGATACTTAGCACCCAATACTCTCTTGTTTTTTATTGTAATTGGTCAATTTGTGTTAACAGCTTTTTTCCATCCTCAGGAATTATCATGTTTACCAAATGCAATTATTTATTATATTACTGTACCTTCTATGTACATGTTACTCATAATTTTTTCTATCTTCAACTTACATAATATTACATGGGGGACTAGAGAATCAAAGTCACAAAGACAAGTACAACTTTGTAACAAGATTATTTTATTGTTTTAGTAATTTTTGTCACATATTATAAGTTACACCTTTTTTTTAGGCATTAGAACAGCAAAATATAAAAACAAAGAAATCCCAACTTGAACAACAAAGTGAAACCATTACAAACAAGTGGATGAAATTTTCTGTACCCAATTTATTTAAATGTAGTTTTTGTACATATATGAATTCTAAACAAGAAGAAGAATACTTAGAAGTTATTTATAATTCTATAAATGAAATTAATCTCTATTTGAAGAAAATAGAAAGGTATTAAATTAGTGAGAAATCAAACGTATTGTAATAAATATATTATTCTTAAATGATTAAAATTTTCACTAACTTAATTTTTAGCAAGTTTGATTACACAATATGCAATATACCCAATAACAATACAGAAGAAAAAAGTAGTAATCAAAGTCAAACATGCAGTGAACAAATAAAATTACAAGTTTCTGAACATTTGAGCACAAGAACAGATTCAGAAATTGAATCTTCAGAACAAATTTCTACCAGTGATCACCAAGAAGAATCAAATTATTTAATAAATCCTTATTGGTTGCAAGATGAACGTTTAAAAGATGGAAAAACAGATTTCCTCTCATATACAGAAGAAGAATTTTGGAAACAATTGATTAGAAAGTATTTGCATCCTATTGAAAATGATATGGAGAAACAAGTATGATTTGTAAAAGGAAATAAATCATTAAAATTGAAAAATTTATTACAAATTTGTACAGAAGATTAAATTTTGTTGCAGCAAAAAATCGCAAAGGGATTGATAAGTATACGTAATGAATGTCTTTTAAAATTCTTTATGATAAATACACTATTTGTTGTAGCAATATTTTTATTGCAAATAAACAAAAATATATTGCATGTTCAATGGCCTTTTGCTGTTGTATATAATATTACTTATATTGAATACGAATATGAAGTAAGTTTTTTTCTTAATGTGAAATAAATATCATTTTTTATTGAAATTTATTTTTTTATAAGTGAATATTAATATTACTCATACTAAGTACATTAATTCTTTTTAGGTACATATACTCAGAACATATATGCATTTGGAACCAATTGGATGTCTCTTCATTGTTGCATTTGTTTTCATTTTATTTATACAATTCTTAGCTATGTTGTGTCATCGATTTAATACATTTGTCCATGTACTTGCTAATGTGAAACTAGACTTATTCTATTCTAGGAAGGTAATATAATAGAACAAATCATTTTCTTCAAATAATTTATCATATTTCATATTTAAAATTGTCCTTTTCTTTTTAGAAAAAACAAGTATCAGATGACTTAATTACTAATACAAATGCAAAAAATATAGCTGAAGGTCTCCAAAATATAACAGAAGATCAGGCAATACTTAATGCAAACAACAATGTTCCTCCAAGGAAACGTAAAATTATTAGAGAATTAATAGAAGATACACAAGATTCTATAATAGAGAGGTCTTCCAATTTTGAAGTAATATTTAATAAAAAATTAAGACATCCTGATATATTTGGTATTAATCTTTTTACACAATAAACTTAATTTATTATTTTAATAATAAAGTATAGCAACAAGAATCATAATTAAGTTTATGATACATAAGTCAAGCATATTATTTCAGGACTTTCTAGAACAATATCTTCAAGCATACCAAAAGATGTATTGGAAGCATTTGAAAAACATCGTTCAAACGTTTTGGCAAAACATAACAAATTACAATCTCACAATACTGTACTTAATGATATAAAGGATGAGAATTTGTCAGAACATCATGTATATGATAATCCAGCATTTTTAGATGACAGTAATGAGTAAATTTAAATGACAATGTACTTATTAATTTTATTTGTTTATAATATTTAAATTACATTGAGCATTTAAAAAATAATTATAGAGTCATTACATAAAATCTTTGGTAATTATTTTTAACTTTTTAAATACATTAATTTGTAATTTATAATAAAATATAATAAAATTAATAGCAAATAAAATTTAATTATTTCAATAATTATTTATAATTAAATACCTTCTTTATATATCTATTTATTATAAATTTAAAATAAATTCTTTAAATAAAATAAAATTTGAAATTTATTTACATATTTTTATAAATCAATAATAATAAAGTTTTCCTTATAATACATAATTGAAGTTATTGAAACTAATATACTACAAAACCAAAAAGAAATATTTCAAAAAAGTATACACATAGTAATATTTACCTTATAAAATTACGAAATATGTATATATAATCTGTTTTCGTTTATGTTAACATGTTAATAAACAATATAAAACAATCCATACATTATGTGAATACACTGTTTGCATAAAAAATAAAAGTACGGAACACAAATGATATTAGACACTCGAACTACACGGTTAATTTTATGATGTATATAGTTGTATATAATGTCATGAAATACGTATTTTCAAATATGACAGTCACTGAAACAGCAATACCAATCATAATTTGAAATTCTGTACCATATACTCAATATTAAAATCTCTAGAATCTTTCTATATTGATTTCTATAGTAACTTTCACGATATCCTAAAACATATTTTCAATATTTTCTATACTGCTTCATCGACTAAGTTTTCAATCTAGCTTCAAACACTTCGAAGTTATGTTTTTAAGAATGTACATTTAAATAGTGTTTCTTTTAAACACTGAATACTGTAGAAAACATGTCACCAACGAAGAAAAGTCTACGCGATTCTAATTGGGATTCTGGTAAAAATTTTGTAATATTAATTCAATAAACATATTTAGTTCTTCATTCGATTAAAAATTTAAAAAAAAACAATGTATTATAAAGAATTTTCTTTTAGGATCAGAATCAGATAATCAGTCAGGATCTTCTAGGTCAAGTCGTAGCGGTACACCTAATTCTAATGCTGCAAATTCTGCACATGATAGAAACTCTGATGATGAAAATGAGGCTCGTTCAGTAGGTTCTAATGTTAGTGAGAGATCTTCTAGATCTAGCAGTCAATCTGTAGAAGAAAAAATAGACTCAAGACAAAATTCCAAAAGTCCATCTCCAGTTAGATCAGATTCTAGACATTCAAGTGCTGGGTCTATACATAGTGAGAAATCTGGATCTCAAAGATCCAGGAGTGGTAGTCCAAAATCAGTTGTATCAAATAATAGTGACTCACAAAGATCACAATCATGTTCTCCACAAGAAAGAACATCCGAAAGTCCAAAATCTACAGAGTTAGTAGTTTTATAATTTAAAGTATTTTTGTTTAAGAATGTTTATGTCTTCAATATCATTTAAAAAAATTCTTAAAATTTATTGTATCTGCATTTAAAAACTTTCTTCTAAAATTGTTAATTTTTTTAGAATGATTAATTCTCCTGATTTTTCAAAAAATGAACCAGTAGATTCTGAACGAAAACCAGAAAGTCCTGAAGAAAATAAAGATGATAATGAATCTGAAAGGTCTTTGAAAACAAGAGGTTTGTAAATCAAAAGAATTTAAAGAATTAATCAAAATTTAGTTTACAAAATTAACTAAATGTTGTTTATATTATTGTATAACAGACAGTATAAAATCAAATGATAGTGATGGAGAAGCAAGTCCAATCCATAAAGAAGATAATAGTGCTTCTGCTTCAGAAGCAGAGGATGGAATGAAAAGAACAAAACCATTGATAGATTCTGATTCAGAAAGTGAAGCAGGAGATAAACAAGCTTTAGCTCCAACAGCAGATGCTCTATTTGGAGATGCTAGTGACATTAGCACTGATGATGAAAAAGATAAAGAAGATGAAAAGAGAGAAAAAAGTCACAGCAAAAGTAGGAGTAGAAGTAGAAGTAGAAGCAGAAGTAAAAGCAGAAGTAAAAGTAGGAGTAGAAGCAGAAGTCAAGACAGATCTGATAGTGGTGGTGAGGGCCCTAGTCAAACAGTCATTGAAGATGTATGTAAAATATTTGTAATAATTAAAAAGTTCTTCATAAACAAAATGCTTATAATTTATTATTTTTAGGATATAGATAAGGAAAAAGAAGAAGAACCAGAACCTCCACCAGAGACACGGATTGATGTAGAAATTCCAAAAATCACTACGGATTTAGGTCGTGAAATACATTTTGTGAAACTCCCCAATTTCCTTTCAGTAGAGACGCGTCCATTTGATACAGAAACATATGAAGATGAAATTGATGAAGAAGAAACTTTAGACGAAGAAGGTCGAGCTAGATTAAAATTGAAAGTTGAAAATACCCTTCGTTGGAAGGAAATCTTTGATGAACAGGGTAAAGTTATTAAGGAAAGTAATGCCAGGTTTGTAAAATGGTCTGATGGCAGTATGTCTCTACATCTGGGCTCTGAGATTTTTGATGTATATAAACAACCACTTCAAGGTGATCACAATCACCTTTATATTCGACAAGGAACAGGTCTCCAAGGTCAGGCAGTATTTAGAACTAAATTGACATTCCGTCCACATTCTACAGAATCCTTCACTCATAGAAAAATGACAATGTCTTTGGCGGACAGATCACAGAAAACTTCTGGTATAAAAGTATTATCACAAGTAGGGATCAATCCAGATCAAAATAGATATGAAATGATTAAGGTGAATTATATTTGCTTAATTTTACTTTGTTATGAAAAATATTTATATGTGACAACACATTTAGATTTTATCATTATCTAGAAAGAAGAAGAGAAATTACGTATGGCAATGCGAGTTCAAAGTAAAACAAAAAAGACTACTGCAAGTAGAGGAACAACTGGAAGACCTGTTGGTGGATATGGTGGTGATGCTTATCATGATGATGGTTCAGATGATGAAGGTGCCATTTCTCTTGCAGCAATTAAAAATAAATATAAAAAGGGAATAAATATTCCTGTTAAAGGTAAGTTAACTTATTTAAGTAAAATAAATAAACTATTTTTTAAAAAGTATTTATATTTTTATATGTTTAGCATCAAATATATATTCATCAGATGAAGAGGGTTCAGATTTTGAAACTCTGAGACCAAAGAAAAATATTAAAGGAAAAGTTCTCAAAGATTCGGATGAAGACTCAAATTCTGGAAGTGCTTCAGAAAGTGGAAGAGAAGATGACAATCAAGGTGATAATGCTAGTGATTAAAATATCTTTGTTTTACTAAGGTATACTGTTCTTATAATATAAATAAATAAATTAGTATCCTTTCTTATGTAATAAAATTAGTTGTATAATTATTAAAATCCTTTCCTAATAAAATTCAATTATGATGTAATATTGTAAAGTAAAAAATAAATATAATATTTAACATACTTTTGTATTATATGATCCAGAAATTCATAAAACTTCCTAGTATTATTACATGTATATTATATATTAGATACAAATTAAAATTTTAATGACATCAAATATTTTTCACTGTAAAGAGATAACATTGTATAAAAGAATTATTTTTAATTCAAGATATCTCATTTCTTTGATACTTTGATTTAAATTCAGAGATGAAATTGTTTATAACAATTGAAATTTATTAAAATAATATATAATGATAAAATATAGGATTAGTTCATAAATAGTCATAGTCATTAGACAATGAAAACCAAACAATAAAAATTATTTATTTTTTTAAATTTACAACAATAATAAAGAACTAATATAATAATTTTGTAAAGCTTCGTATATATAAACAACATAATTTAATTCTTATTAATTATAATAACATATAATAATTTGTACATTTTTACGATTTAATACTGTATATTTTATTTTAACTTAACAGCATCGATTACTGTTCCTATTGTAAAGAATAATATTTCATAACAATAACCTATGTTTGGAACAATTTATTATGACGATAAATATAATCATTTCTACATTTTTCATAAAATTACATTTATGTTTCTAAATTAATTTCCGTTATATAATTGTATTAAAATATACTTATTGCTTTTTAAAAATATACAAAATACATGTACTGAAAACAAAACGAACAGTGGCTATCAATCAAGTATAGACGAAATACATGTATGTATATATAAAATTTGGTTCATGAAAACATTAAAAAGAAAAACAAACAATTTTTTTACTTTTACAGATTTTAATTTCAGTTCAATACAATTCTAAAAATCATTACTCTATGTTATAGAAAGGAAAAAAAAATTGTTGATCTTATTTTTTAAATCGATATTTTTTTTCGATCTACACACAATTTTGGTAATTTTATGTTATATGTTGAATTTAAAGTCATATCAAATATTACTTTAGTTTCCTATTATTTTATCAAATTTTGCATGTAAATTTAAAATGACTTAGAAATTTATCTACATAAATAATTGGTAGCACTGTATTGTATATAGTGTAATATAGTGATCTGTATCGCAAAAGCATTTTTATCGTACGAATTACTACTCTTGTAATTGAAAATTATTATTGTTAGTATAATTTGTGAGTATAATTCTTGTTTTCATTAATGGTATTACTTAATAATGTCAATATATGTTAACTACATTTATTAGTTTGTATCAATATATGGAAAATAATTTTTATTCAAGAATTACTTTTTTGTTTTCATAAATAAATAGTAAAACAATAAAATGAACTTTATTAATTATGTCTTTGTATAATTATTATATATAATTTTATCTTCTGGTTTATATATTAAATACTTTAATAAGTTTTGTAATTTTTATTTATACAATTAATAATTTAAATCTAATGTTTCTTCATACTAGATCTTTATTGTTTTAAACAAATTTTACTATAATTTAAAAATTTTAGTTTTAATAATCAAATGATTTAAAGTATAATTTTTATATATTTAATATCCTAAAGTTATTAAAAATTTATTATAAAAAAGTTCGTTTATTTATGTACTTCTTCACGAAGAGAATTATTTCATTGTCTGCAATTAAGCTATTATAGTTCAAAATGATGTAACCTATTTTCCACCGTATGCATTGCAACATAACCTTAAAATTTCTCTGTTGTTTTAGGAAGGATTTACTTGAAATATTTTCTACAAGTTGTTTTATGTTTATCCAATTCAAGGATTTGACTAGGAATTGTGAATTTTTTGACTTTACTATTATTTTATACTAATATACAGGTATTGTTTATGTAATATATAGGTAATTATATAATTTCTCTTCTATTTAGTTATTAATTAAGTTTTTCTGTTCAAATATAAAAATATATTGTACAAATACTAAATTATAGAGTATTTCATTTTATTTTATTTATGTAATTTTTTTGTGTAATTTTCATATTAAACTATTTATAGTATTTAATTATATAAAGTAATAAGTAATGAAAATGATTTTAGGTTTATATACAATGGTTGCCCACACTGTACTTCTTGACTTTACAATACCATCAAATGTAATAGTAGATGTGGAGAAATGTTCCAATCTAAAATTAGCAATTGCTAATGTCCTTCAAGAACATTTTGATAGTCTAAAACCATTAATTGAATCAAGCATTGATGGAAGCTTTTTAGTCTTATACACAGGTCCCAAAGATAGTCTAATTACAGTTCGGGGATATACTGAAGGATTAATTACTATTAACATTGAATATTATAAGAGAGATGAAGAGGAAGCACTTTTCAGTTTTGAGGTACAGTCCTTTATATTAACCATTATTGTTTTGCAAATACCTAGTTGAACATAATTTAATTCTTATTAATTATAATAACATATAATAATTTGTACATTTTTACGATTTAATACTGTATATTTTATTTTAACTTAACAGCATCGATTACTGTTCCTATTGTAAAGAATAATATTTCATAACAATAACCTATGTTTGGAACAATTTATTATGACGATAAATATAATCATTTCTACATTTTTCATAAAATTACATTTATGTTTCTAAATTAATTTCCGTTATATAATTGTATTAAAATATACTTATTGCTTTTTAAAAATATACAAAATACATGTACTGAAAACAAAACGAACAGTGGCTATCAATCAAGTATAGACGAAATACATGTATGTATATATAAAATTTGGTTCATGAAAACATTAAAAAGAAAAACAAACAATTTTTTTACTTTTACAGATTTTAATTTCAGTTCAATACAATTCTAAAAATCATTACTCTATGTTATAGAAAGGAAAAAAAAATTGTTGATCTTATTTTTTAAATCGATATTTTTTTTCGATCTACACACAATTTTGGTAATTTTATGTTATATGTTGAATTTAAAGTCATATCAAATATTACTTTAGTTTCCTATTATTTTATCAAATTTTGCATGTAAATTTAAAATGACTTAGAAATTTATCTACATAAATAATTGGTAGCACTGTATTGTATATAGTGTAATATAGTGATCTGTATCGCAAAAGCATTTTTATCGTACGAATTACTACTCTTGTAATTGAAAATTATTATTGTTAGTATAATTTGTGAGTATAATTCTTGTTTTCATTAATGGTATTACTTAATAATGTCAATATATGTTAACTACATTTATTAGTTTGTATCAATATATGGAAAATAATTTTTATTCAAGAATTACTTTTTTGTTTTCATAAATAAATAGTAAAACAATAAAATGAACTTTATTAATTATGTCTTTGTATAATTATTATATATAATTTTATCTTCTGGTTTATATATTAAATACTTTAATAAGTTTTGTAATTTTTATTTATACAATTAATAATTTAAATCTAATGTTTCTTCATACTAGATCTTTATTGTTTTAAACAAATTTTACTATAATTTAAAAATTTTAGTTTTAATAATCAAATGATTTAAAGTATAATTTTTATATATTTAATATCCTAAAGTTATTAAAAATTTATTATAAAAAAGTTCGTTTATTTATGTACTTCTTCACGAAGAGAATTATTTCATTGTCTGCAATTAAGCTATTATAGTTCAAAATGATGTAACCTATTTTCCACCGTATGCATTGCAACATAACCTTAAAATTTCTCTGTTGTTTTAGGAAGGATTTACTTGAAATATTTTCTACAAGTTGTTTTATGTTTATCCAATTCAAGGATTTGACTAGGAATTGTGAATTTTTTGACTTTACTATTATTTTATACTAATATACAGGTATTGTTTATGTAATATATAGGTAATTATATAATTTCTCTTCTATTTAGTTATTAATTAAGTTTTTCTGTTCAAATATAAAAATATATTGTACAAATACTAAATTATAGAGTATTTCATTTTATTTTATTTATGTAATTTTTTTGTGTAATTTTCATATTAAACTATTTATAGTATTTAATTATATAAAGTAATAAGTAATGAAAATGATTTTAGGTTTATATACAATGGTTGCCCACACTGTACTTCTTGACTTTACAATACCATCAAATGTAATAGTAGATGTGGAGAAATGTTCCAATCTAAAATTAGCAATTGCTAATGTCCTTCAAGAACATTTTGATAGTCTAAAACCATTAATTGAATCAAGCATTGATGGAAGCTTTTTAGTCTTATACACAGGTCCCAAAGATAGTCTAATTACAGTTCGGGGATATACTGAAGGATTAATTACTATTAACATTGAATATTATAAGAGAGATGAAGAGGAAGCACTTTTCAGTTTTGAGGTACAGTCCTTTATATTAACCATTATTGTTTTGCAAATACCTAGTTGCAAATTTCATAATATTTAATTGCCTCTCATGAATATCAAATACAAAATCAGCTTTTGTATCTCTCAAACATGGGGTCATTACAAGGTACATCTCATTTCATACGAATTAATGATAAATCATAAATATAATTGCATCAAATATGTTTCAAAAAAGTTTTTCTAAATATAAAAACGTGAAGTTGTATTTGTTAAACCGATTCGCGATTTTTTATTTGTCGATATTTTATCGCTGAATGCTAAAGTTGTAAGATAAACGTATTATAAACGATCATCGTTTGATGAGTAGTATTATAGAAGTAAGTAAAAATTATACTATACACGGAAGAAACATGCTTAACAAAGAGGACCTTGTAGCAGTGGCGATACCTGGAAGCGGACGTTGCGATGGCTCTGAACAGCCAACGCAGCAAGCGCCTGCCACCAGTAAGGCGAGGAACCATATATGACCTCTATCTGACACTATCAGGTAGAAACCACTCCCCAATTAGTTCCTATTAGTTATCTATAGCACCTTAAAAACGTGCGAATCGTTCCCCGTTGCACTCTAAAGCCACCAGCTCCGATCGATTACTTTTTCCCGGTCGAACTCCGGTGTTTTTCCCGCCCCGGTGTTCTCCCCCCCCCCCCCCCCCCCCCCCCCCCCCCCCCCCCCCCCCCCCCCCCCCCCCCCCCCCCCCCCCCCCCCCCCCCCCCCCCCCCCCCCCCCCCCCCCCCCCCCCGGTGTTCTTTTTAGTTTTTCCGCAAAGGGAAAATAAGTTGATTCATATGTAAAAAGAGAGTTGTTATGATTGGTTTAACAAGATAGTTTCTGTTTTTTTTATTCGTTGGTTCGCTTGTCGCGGCCACCTTTAGTTGGCCAGAGAATTGGAGACAACGTTGCAGGCGGCTGTAGCTTCTACGCGTTCGCATTCGCTTGCGCCGATTAAACGCGGCGGACCTTTTGAGAGATACTTTCCTACCGCCGGTGAGTTTTTTATTTATTATTATGTTTACGGTATGAGTGGGACATTATTTCCGCAAAATTTTCATTTCATCATGCGTCGTGAACAAAAATTGCTTCCGATTCATTTCTTCGATTACATGTAATTTAATTTTCTATATTTAACATTCTTTTCATCATTCATCGCGCGGAAGAACTGTCGATGTTTAATACTTTATGATTTTTAGAAAGGTGAATTCGTCTCAATTTTTGTCTTAATCTATTTTTACATAAATAAATTTTTATTTTTTCTTGCAATTAAGAGACGCTATTTTTCCTTGTTCGCTTAATCAATTTTTTATTATAGTATATATCTAAATACAATGAATTGCAAAAAAAAACGCAGAAAATACCAAAAATAATATAAATAAATTCTATAATCTTAAAAGAATTATAATTCTTGGGAAGTTATTATTTTTATAAGTATATCAAATAAATTGTATTTTTATTTCTCCAACTTATGTGCTATATAAAAAAAGAAAAATTAATAGACATAAATAATATGATAGATTTAGTAATCCACATATAAAATTCCTAAATCTTCGATACTTTCATTTTTGTTTATTTTATATTGAATATAAAATTTTTTTTCTCTACAGATTTGTGCTTTGCATCGCATGCATCTATTAAATGCTTTTCATGCAATTATTTAATCTCTGTGCATTTGCAGTATTACAATAAAATTGTTTTTTCTTTTTTAAGATGACAGATTACTTGAATATGACATAGATAAGCTGATCTTTGAAGCACGTTCTCCTTATCAAAAGGTGCAAATTGTCCACTCAAAATCATTGGGAAACCTGTTGGTTCTTGATGAATTACAAAGTAAATGGAACAAATTCTATGTTTTTAGAGTAATTTGAAGTTGTATCTAAAATCAGAATATTCCTAAAATTAGATCTTGTAACATTTATAGATATATCGGAAGCAGATTTGATATACACAGAAACTTTGATGCAACGTGGGAAAGAAAACTATACAGGAAAGGAGATAGTTATCTTAGGAGGAGGAGATGGTGGTTTACTTTGGGAATTACTTAAGGAGAAACCAAAATTCGTAACCATGCTCGAAGTACAATGAGCTACTATTATAAAAATTATATTATCATTACATATATTAATAAATTGTATTACTAGGAAGTTAATTTTTTGTTACCAGATTGATGACGTTGTGATAAAAGCCTGTAGCCAGCATATGAGAAGCATATGTGGAAACTGTTTGGATAAAAGAAAGGGCGAAAATTATGAGGTAAATCGTATGAAAACAAGCTACATTTTCTCAGTTAAGTAAAATTAATAGAATATTTTATAGAATATTGAAAACTTGTAGATTATTGTTGGGGATTGTGCTAAAACTTTGGTACACATGATTGAAGAAGGCCGACAATTTGATTACGTCTTCGGTGATCTTACAGATATACCAATTAGTCCAACGGCACATGGCGATGCGTGGGATTTTATAAGACTAATCTTGAACTCTTCAATGAAAGTTTTAAAATCCACAGGGAAATATATGACTCATGTATGTAAAAATATTAAATAACATAAAATAAATTAATTTTATTTATTTATAACATTTGTGCAATATTTTAATTAAAGATTAATATTCAATGGTATACAGAAACAATATCTTATTTTATTTTACAGGGAAATGGAGCATCTTGTCCACAGTCATTAGAAATGTACGAAGAAGTTCTTTCTCAGCTCTGTGTACCCGTAACTTTTACCAAAGATAGTGCTTTTGTTCCCTCTTTCTTCGAAGATTGGGTCTTCTATCAAGTATCGTTAAAATGATGGATTAAACCTATTATATTGAGGTTCCAAGAGAGGTATATTCACAATCCATTTTCTCTCTTATGACTCAAATTCGGCCCTAGTCGCAAATTTTTTGTTAACAAGTCGGTTCCTGAAAAAAACGATCCCGATGCTGGACATGAAATCCCAATTGACACTATTACGCTGGCGTCTGTACATACAAAAGGTGGTTGTTATCTGTATCTATTTGTTTGTTTAGTAATTAATAAACTATACAAAGGTACCCAATTATTTTTTCTACTAACTGTCAATAATTAAACTAAATTACCCAATGGTTTATTACGAGTGAATTTAAAAAAAGCAATACAAATACATTACTGTACAAATAACTTTAATAAAACACAGATAGAAGTACATGGAATGTTAATCACACATATACAAGCATATTTTTTATTAACATATATTTTGAATATACTTAAGATTCAAATTACATTTATTAATATTTACTAAACAAATAATATTTTGCAGATGTATATAAAAGCACGAAATGTTGCATGAGGTATAAAATGTATCAAGTAATAAAATGTTAAGGAATATATGTAGAAATACCATCTAATTAAAAAACTGATTTTATTTTGTATTTAATTTTTCTAAAAACCAAGAATAGTAGAGAAAAAATAAATTAATAAGATATCTAATCATTGGTAGGTAAAGGGACATAAATTATAATTTTAAACATTGATTATGAATTGATAAATAATATTAATTAATTTGAAAAATTATTTTGTAATTAATGTTATATTAATTACATACTCAATGTATTTAAAATTATTTTAATATCACTGTTTATGAATATTATATAATTAAAATAATATTACAGTGTTCTTTTCCTCATTTCATGGATGTTACAATTATGATTAATAATTAAAAAATGTTTATGATTAGTAGCTTTTTAATATTAATAAAAGTACAATCTTATTTATTAATAATGTTACTGATCTTTAGCTACTAAAAAGAACATTTTGTAATTGATTATTATTAATATATAAATAAATAAAGTTAAATATAAGAGACTCAAACATAGTAAAAAATTGTTCCCAAATTGAGGTTCCCTATCTTTATTATTTAATCTAAATAGAAATAAATATATTACGAAAACGGTGGGCTGAGCAAATTACTTAATTAAATATAATTTTCATGTTTCTAAATGAAATTTGGTGCACACATAAGCTTCTGATATTTCAGGCAATTTTTCCACTTCATGAATAGTTGGTTCTATCTCGGTCTCTAAAAGTATTTGATCCAACCACTGTTGAACTTGTTCTGTGTGTCCGTGAGAATTATGTTGTTCCTCTATTATATTTCTTTTAGAATTCTTATAATTTTTTGTATTTTCTTGCTCACTTACATTAGTTGTCTGAAAATTAAAATCATTTTTGTGTAATTCTGTATCTGCCTTTAAAGAACAGTCAATATGTTCTTTAGAATCCTTTTTTTGAAGACTAGGTTCATGACTGGAATTTCCTGTTAAATTTATTATACTAGATGGCTTTAATCTAGTGGAAATATTATTTATGTTTTCATCTTCTGTGGGACAAGAAAATTCAGTTTTGGTAATAGAAGGAACAATGCCTGTATTTTGAATAGATTTATCAAAACAGACATGATCTTTATTTATATCTTGATATTCTGCAATTTTATATGGTTCTAGATTAGTTATAGCGGTTGTATTAGACCCTGTAAGCTCTATCCTCCCAAATTGTTTAATTTGTTCTTCCAAAACATTTCTCTCATTTAATATGGCTATACATGGAGAAAGAATTTCCTGACTGGATAATGCCAAAGATATTTGCTGTCTATAAATGGCTTCTGATTGTCGTAAAAGTTGTTTTTCTCTTGCATATAATGTTTGTGCTAACTGAGCAAAACATATTTTAACTTCTTCTTGGACCTTAAAATTAATTAAGTCATCTTAATTGCAACATCTAGTATATAGTTATAACTAATTAATGAAGTTAATAATATAAAGTAAATAGAATATAAAAAAGTATAATTATATGTAAATATTATTAATATTACTGAAGAAATAAAACATTTATAGATAAAAGAGGAATAAAGTTGAGTTTTAAAAAGGATGGAATTTAAAATAAAATTTACTACAAACTACTTTGATAAGATTTAAAAATATAATAAGCAATAACAACAAATTTAATTACTAGTTTCAATAAATAAATAAGCAGTAGTTTGAATGAAAACATTTTAAAGACCATAACCTTAAAATAAATATTATACTAATTATTTCCAAACAAAATATATACAGAAATATTACCTGAAGAAATTGTTTTTCTAAAAATGTTCTTTTATCAGCTATTAATCTTATTCTGACAAGATGACTATCATTATCAGCATTTTCTTCATTCTTTTCTATCATGTTATTTATTTATTATATTTACTGAAATGATTAATTTTGTAACGTAACTTTGTTAAAAACAAAACGCAAATTTAATATTATTGAACAATTAGTTAATTCTTTTAAATGCACTTAAACACATTACCCAATAAATTTCTAAAAATTATTCGTAAAGAATTCAACTTCTAATTATTTTGCACCCGTTAGATTAACTGCGCCGCCATCTTGATATTTGAAAAATTGTTATTTTTTCATAATTGTTAGAAGTAAATTGTAGAAACTACAATTATTAAAAATAAATTAAATATTAAAAAATCCATTTACTTGAAAATTAACAAAAAAAAAATGTGTATCAAAACATGACATGAAATTTGAATTTTACTTACTGCTATACTGCTTACTATATTTTATATATTCCATGATTTCTAAATACATGAAATAATTGGAAGTCAGAACAAAATTACCTTAACATGTTTCATGCCGAACTAATTACATTGCTCGACATGAATTTTAATCTGTAATATACATTGGGTAATTCTTGTAAAGTTTAGTTTTTTGAGAACGAATCCGTAACCGTAATGGATCGATCATTCTCAATTTTCGAAAGTTGAGTTTCTCTAAAAGGCATGATTTTTGGCTAAAATAAAATATTATGTTAAAAGTAAAAACGGTTCATTCTTGTCTTAAAAATTAAGTACAAGTATCCTCAGTTTATTAATGTCCATAATTATAATTATTTCTGTTTCTAAATAATTATAACTAGTTATCAAAATTTAAAAATAAGCCGCTAATCGCGCTCTCTACGTACTATTCTTGCACTTTTACAAAAAGTTCTTTATCTTTCACGAATTTGTTACACAGTATCATATCCTGTTGGCTTTTTTGAGAAAGTGACCATGAACAGAATTGTCCAAACAGTTTTCAATTCGAACAGATGTAGAAAATAACTAATTAATTCGCTTGAAATTATGTACGAAAATTGCATGCGAATGTTGCTCAAAGCTTCAGCATTACAATACAGCTACAAAAGTTCATAAATGTAATACAGAAACTTGGAAATTTGTGATTCTTCACCGTCGCAACTTCTCTATCCTTTCCTAACAGCTTGCTGTGCTTGTCTATCACGTAAAGAGGTTACGACCTCCGCGTGCATTCCGTATTCCTGCTACTTTTTTCAGCTTTCGGTTCAAAATCATGGATAGTGCTGATCGCAGTCTAAAAATCGAAAACCATGTGACGTAGGAGCAAAAAGCAATAAAATTACATAAATAAGTACAATACATTTTTCTCCCTTCTCTTTACTCTCTTAAAAGCCAGACAAACATGAAATCACAAGATGAAGATGCGTTGTTTTATTCTTGGTAAAAAGAAAAAGAAAATTCAATTGTTATATGCTTAGGAACTTTTTATTCACTTTGAATATTTTACATATACATGTTAATTGTTAACGACATAATAAACAATGACATATAGACATTAGAATCTGAATAGATGTCCGTATCACGGATGGTTTCGAAAAAAAGATGTTTCGTAATACATATCACCTAATAACTATCATTACAATGACCATATATATATGTACAATATTTATAAGCATATGACAAATGATTCTATTCAAATACATGAGTTATCCTAATAATTCTTGATATCTCTTATCGTGCATCTTCTCGGCTTTCTCTTGTACTACACTAATAAGGAGTTTTTTATTCCCTATTCATTTTCCTTTATACCCTTATAATCTTCAGCATCACCTATTTTATAATTTTGTACTCTCTTCGGTTCCTTTTTCGTATCTTTCAATGTATTTTTTATCCTTTTCTTCATTGCTCTGAAAATATAAATATAAGAGACAGTCAATAAAAATTCCTACTTTCTATAACCTAGTTATAATGTAAACAATAAACTAACTCTTTCTCTTTCTTTACAACTTCTAATTCTTCTTGAGTTTTTACTTCGTCGTCATTCTCTCAATCGCTACTGCGGCCTTCCTTCCTTTTTTTATTTGCAAGTCCAGGTGATTCAACAGCTGGTTGTGAGATTAATTTTGGATCAGTTAAATGATCATGAGCTGATTTGCCCTTACCACTACACTTTTTATTTAATATCACATATTCTTTTTCATCTTCCTCTGCTTCTTCACCAAATGATAAAAGATTCAAATCTCTGTAACAAAACTTTTCGTTGTAAAGAACAATACTATCAGGACTAAATTCTGCAAACATATATGATTTTTACTTTACTGCTGCTGTTTTAGTTTTTTAACTGTTCTTTACTTCTTCACTTTCCTGTACTATTATTCTTGGTATAATATCAGAAAATGGATTGTTCAATATTATAGTTTTTATCAATCTTGGAGGATAAAGTGGTCTATCATTCTACAAAAAAGGGGAAATATTATATTTATATCAATTATTGATATATTTTCTTGTAAACATTAAATTTACCTCATTTACAAGTGCTTCTTCGAGTTTAAGCATACTATATATAGATTCTCCAGTAGCTCTACCAGAAATTGTATGCTTATTTTGCAAATCTGGTGTAGAACTAAGAATAAAGAAGTATTGGGAACCATTGTCATCTTTCTAGCATTAACCATAGCAATTAAATCTCGTCGACAAAAACGTAATCGTGTATGAAATTCGTCCTAAAACATATATATCCAATAATTATTTTTCGATAAAAAAGGAATTCATTTTATTTTTAAATATAGTCTCACTTTTAATGGTTCTCCATATATTTTACCACCTTCTCCTGTACCCGTGGAATCACCACCTTGTTTTATGAATCCTTTGATAATTCTATGAAAGATAGTGTCACCCTAATAACCTTCCATAGATAACTGTATGAAATTTCTACATGCCTTTGGAGTTTCTTTTGCCCATAATTCTAACTCAACATCACCAACAGTTGTTTTCATTACAACCTAGTTATAAGAAATACATTAGTTTGATTAATGTAAAATACCTTTAAAATCAAATTTATTAAAATTTATTATTTACTATTGTAATTCAAGTTAGAAATTATTTAATATATTAATATAGAAATTTAGAAAGTAAATATTGTATATAGATTAAATTCTTAAAAACAGATATACAATCCATGGAAGTATTATTAAATGATACTTATTACTTTACCTTTAGTGGCAGGCTTTTGCATATAAATATTACTCATGTTTGTAAGTCTCCTATAATAAAAAAAGTCCTTCATCAATAATATTTCATATTAAATCTTTAGTCATTTATAAATCAGTCAACCAAATGGTTCTTTGCTCGAATAATCATCAGTGGGTAACAGGTACCTTTTATCTGCTTTTAATGTTGACTTTATTGGTCCAATCAATTCCATGTGCCACAGCCCAATTATTCCTGCTGCTTTTACAGTTTCCAAGTTCTTATAGATATTTCTACACATTTGTGCCTTAATGCAACATTTACAGTCTATATTCAATTTATCTTTAACATTTATAACTCTTACCAAGTGTTCATTCTCCATCTCTTCAATGATCCTCAAATTTGCATGTCAATGCCACACATTTTTTTCTGTTGATACATATGCTGCCTCCTTTCTGTTTCTTGATACCGCATAATATGCGTTTCCTCTTCTCACTGCCTTCATTCGAACTTCTCCCTTTTCTTCATATACCTCAGCTCCTTCATTCTGAAACTTAATATGTTAGCTATAATCAGTAACTTTGACTACTGATATTAATTTTTGACTCACTGATTCATTTAGATCATGAATACAACATACCTTTCAATCTTACTGTATTCTCCATATATTGTTGTTAAAAGAGGCCATCACCTAAATTAATTGTATTCCTTTTTGTCTGCCTAAACCATCTCCATTTTCTGAATCTTTATTTGACCCTCAAAGATTTTTATCTTGTATGACATATAGTTAATCAATCTACAATCCAATAGACATATACTTTACATATTTGTATTGCTGCTTCAATTTTTTCTTGCTATAAAGTATAATTCTTGGCATCTACGCTGATGATATTCCATGAGTCCAATATTTTTCTATTGTTGCACGTGCCTGTTTACTTCAACAGAACATTGTGTCTTCACAACCAGGCTCTGCCATCACTAATGAAGGATGGAAAAGCAATGCTCTATATCTTACACAATGTGTTTACAAGTGAGTTATGTTATGTTATGTTAAGGTTATGTTAATACAAATACTTACATTCTTTTCGTGATGCAGGCACACCTGCATGGACACAACAATGCTTCCGACGTTTGTTTGCAATATTTTCTCATTTTCCATGCACTCTCCTGTTCATTTGGAGAAAAATTAATAAATCGCTCAATTT